GGGGTGGGTGTGGAATAAAGGGACGAGAGGTGGAGAAGGAGGAAGAAAAAGAAAACAAAGACGCAGAATGAGATGGAGAAAAATGGGATTAATATTCATGTTGTGGACAAGAAGGTGGGCACAACATTGTAAAGTGAAAATGAGGAGAGAGGGAATGGGGGCTTAAACCAATAGGAGGTGTAATGTGACCAGAGAAGAAGACAAAGAAACACGACGACGGAGGGAGAAAGAGAAGAAGAAAGGAGAAATGTAGAGAAGGTGGAAGTGGACGAGTCATTTTCTTTCTTTGAAGTTTGAACGTTTTGCTTTTGCTTTTATCATTATCCATCATTTTAGAATATGTGATCATCAGTACTGCTTTTCTTACTACAGTCAAAAAACAAGTTGCGGTGTCTTCTGCAACCAGTAAGCAGAGGAAACGGGTTATCAGTGCTCTCGGGTTTCTTGATGTCTCTGTGTCAAGCTAGAAAAAGAATTCTGTGCTTCTTCTTGAGTGAATATCACTCATGCTTAAAAGTCTCAATGTTTTGATTCCCTAATCATTGATTTCTAGATTGATATATAATCAAATGCAATACGATAGGATTAACTTTGAGACACTTAAATAACCTGAATGAATATTTTCATAAAGCGTTTTAAAAAGCATCACTCAAAAGCTTTCACATCCAACTTTGCATTACTATATATTACATATGCAATGCAATCCCCAGTACACTGCAGGACTTCGCATTAGGATTTCATGTTTGGAATTTAAATTAAACCCTTACTGCAGAATCCAGAAACTCAATTAGATGTAGTAGTTGGAACCAGTCACTTCATACAAAACATTACATTAATTCATTAACTGTCTTAAATTAATAGATATTTTTAATTAATCACTTTTTTTCCATTAAACAGTAATTCTGGCTTGGTTTTGGTTGCGGGCACTTCATGTGTGTTTATGGGAGCCTTTAGTAAATGGGTGCTGTGTTTGAAAAAAAAAAACACACCGTCATTTTGTCATTCCAGTGCTGCTCCCAATTCATGTGTGTCAAATTACCATCTGTAAGTAAATGGGGAAGAATTGCGCTGACAGACGCTGCAGCAGTGAATGGGACTCATTTATTGCTACACAGGCATACAGTACATTATGCAAATCAAAAAACTATGAAGGAGGTGAAATCAGGAGAGAGACAAAAAAACGTTGACAGATGAGAGGCATGACTTTCAGTGACATCAATATGCCCCTAAATCCCATTACAGAGAGATTGGAATATAAGCATACATATGTGGTTACAGTAGGTCTTTAGCTCACTCTTCACCTTCATCTTCCGCCCTTATTCATTCTGCCTAGCCTGACTAGGCCTCCCTCTGCTCTTTTCCTCTTTCCTCCTCTAGTCTTGTACCTCTCTTGCTCCTTCCCTCTTCCTTATCTCGCTGCCATCCAGCGCTTTTCCAGAGGATATTGACACTCCGAGGATTGTTGTGAGCGAAAAATGATTCTCATCTCCGCTCACTCTGCCGAGCAAACCCCCATTCCCCCCACGCTGATGCTGCCAAACTCACCGACACTAACAGCTTATGACACACTATAGCATGAAGATTTGGTTTTTCATTTTTAGAAAGAGGTGATTTACTCTAGATTAGCCATGCACAATGGTATTACAATTAGGTGGAACTTGAATCTGACAAAGCCCCACAAACTGCTCTGTGAAATCGCTTTGTTTCTTCTGGTTAAACGGTTGTTTTGCAGAAGTGCGCGGTGTGAAGAAAAATGTCTTTGACTCGGAGTCACTGTGGTGAATAAAGCTTGTGAACATGGGCCAAATGGGGCTTGTCTCTTGGGAGTGCCTGGCCTCTACCTCTTTTCTGTCGACATGTATCAAATTCCACCTTGCCAAGAGCAAAGGCTCAACCCTGACTGATCCCTCTCACTTTTCTCCTCCTCCCTCCATTTTCCCTCTTCATCTCGGAGGCTTTCTATGTTTCTGTGACATTGTGTGTCATTAACTCTGACTGTTGCTTTCTGGCTCATTTACCATGCGGATGTCTCGACACTTAGGAAGAGAAGTTGGTGTGCCAGCTGCTTCTGAATGTAAACCGATGATTTATTCCACTGATACTGATCAATTTTATGAGATCTTAATAACGTCTGATGGATAAACAGCGCCAGGTTGCCATCACTGTCTTATTCCCTGAATCAACAACCCATCCAGCAGCTCCATGCAGTTTCCATCTGCTTTAAGCTAATTATTGATGTTTGCCAGGCAGTAAAACCACAACAGTGTTGGTTCTTATAAAATCGTAGCCAAAAAGAGACACAAATTACCAGTGCAACATCGAGCAATAAAAGCTGATATTGTTTTCATTTGTTGGGAGACTAATCAGGGCGGGGCAGACAATCGAAAAGGCTGGAAAACACACAAAGACAGAAATCAAAGCTAAACATTTCACATGAGGAATGAGAAATGTTTGGCATAAGAGAGAATGTGATTTTTGGCCAGTTTAAGAGTCTTCCTGCTCAAATGGCTTAACATAGCTTTAATTCATGTTTTTTGAATATTTTAACCAAATTGAATCAAAAACTTCCTGTGTCACAGTAACCTATTAACTACATTAGACGGTTAATAGTATGTTTTATGTTAACTGCAAAATGACAACAATTTCCCTCAAGATTTCAGTTTATTTGCAGCAGTGTATCTATTTTTAATCAAATCTGTCAGCGCCTTCCTGATTGCTACAGGATGATCTGCAATGCCCCTAATTATCTCTCTCTCTATTATATACAGTATCTCTATACAATGTCTCTGTCTTATTTTCTCAGAAATAACACTGTGAGAGCTAATCACACGCAGGCCTTAAACCCTGTTACCCTGCAGCTAAACAAGTCAAGCGTGTATTCAAATGAAAATGCCAAAAACATTTGAATTGATTTTCCCAGTGAATTTGTATGTAATTACTTTATTCAATCATGCCTGTGTGTTTTGCTTGCCTTTCTGTCTATAAGGCACAAATGCATTACAGTCTACCTCTCTTTCCACAGCTCTCCTCTTTATCTTTCCCTGCTAATGACAATAAAAGACTTTAAATCTTAAAATTGACCAATTACCTCTAATATTTAAATGAAAACATGTTAATGATTTCCAGAGCAAAACATAGACCGTAAAAGGTCAAAGGAGAGAATTGAATAAATCATGTCCGTATTTTGACTTTGACTTTAATTGTATTCAAATGAGTCGTTTATTTTAATAAGAGAAAATGACTCAGTCAAACGTAATGTTAAGGCAGCTGAAACAGCATTTTGCCCATGTAATATTACAACACCCAAATGAAACCAATCTCATCAAACATTACACATTTATAAACTCTACCTGGTTGGTGGCAGCGGAATCACTTATACACTGCAGCGACAATTCTGTTTGAGTTGATATATGGAATGAAAATGCATTTAATTAAATGATGATGATAAAAAAAAATCTAAGTTCAGGTGGATGTTTGTGCCAAATTTGAAGAAATTTCCTCCAGGGTTCTTGAGATATAGCGTTTCACGAGAATGGACCAGAAGGACGGACGTACAACCCAAAAACATAATGCCTCTGGAACACGGCTGTTGCCAGCGCGGGGCTTCAAAAAATAAATGAACGCCCCTGTGAGGATTTCTCCGCCACCTAACTTTATATTCAACAGCAGGTGCATTGAGTAAAAACAAACAAACAAGAAGCAAAAGCCAATCAAATCAGGCTGAGACATTTATTTTTAGCAAAGGCCTCAATTATCCTCTAATCTGCTGCTTGCGCCAGACAGACCATCCCTGTATGGGCGTATTGAGCTTTGCCGGCAGCATTCCTGGTCGTCCTTACAACACTCTGGCAAAGACCCAGAGAGGCTCCAGAAGCCCCCGCCTGAGACTGAGGCTAGCAGGGTTGCCATAGAAACCACTGAGCCCACCAGGAAGCCGAGAAACTCGGAGAAACCACAGACAGAAAGGTTGCTGTAACACGTGCCCATACTATACACACACAAACTCAAACAGATTTGTAGGCACAGAAAGAAACACTCATCCAAACACTCATCATCAACAATAAGTGTCTTATTGTTGTAGGTTAACTGGTGATCCCTAGTCCCTGTGTGGTGATGCTGCCCGTCTGTTCTCCCCACACTTGCTTTTTAAAGCCCAATGCAAGCCTTTGATTTGATCATATCTTCTGCTACAATATCTATCTTCCTCTCCTTTCAGACTTTCTCTCTTAACTTCACATGTTCTACCAGTTTATTCTATTGACTTCCCTCATTAGCCTAATTCTCTCACAACAAACACAACGTGGCCCTTTGTTAATTAAATTATAATGCATGGCTTCATCCACTAGTCAGAAAAAAGAAAAAAAAGACAACTATATTGCAGTATCCTCAGCAACTATCACACTTCGACCATCATGGCATCGTAACGTTTGACATCTGTTGAGCCCTGTAAAAGCTCATTTGAAGTTTCAGCTCATTGTGTAGACTTGATCCTAGTTTGTGATTACCACTTAATGGTGTAAATCAGTGACAATGAATTTAATGTGCCAAAATCCCCCAGCAGCTCCAAAGTTGTGCTCCTGGCTAGCATGGTGGAGGAAGCCAGGTGAGCCGTCATACTATGTTATTACGAGGTGACTACAGGCTGGCATTAGTGTTGAATTACTTCTAATTGGAGCAACTTGCTACAGGCTCTTTGCCGTTGACTTACACCACTTAAACACAAGCTTGCATACAGTAAACAAGAGCAATGCGTTAGAAGCCGACCAAAGTGGAACGGATATGAGAGAATGCAATTAGAGATGTAAATGGGCTTCAGGTTACTCTTTACAAACCTACAACAGAGACCACAACTGAGCATTACAGGGCAGGAGTCCAAATTCATGTAACTTCATCAAGATTAAAAATGACAGTGATCCAGGCAATGATTTCATGTAACAGTTGGGGGGGATGCTTCACCAAAGAATAGAATCATAATTGGAAAAGCGTTTATCAGTACTCACCAATGAGCTCCTTGTTCCTGATGTCCAGGGCCATATTTCTGAGAGCGGTGGCCACGGCACACACCACCTTGTCGTTGTCTATCCTCAGTAACTCCACCAGGATGGGAAGGCCTTTCTCCTTGCGTACAGCCGCCCGGATGTACACCGACCACTGACAGGGAGAAATGAGAGGGAAGGCTGTTAGATAGCTAAAAATGTTATTGCATGAATAGCAGCCTGGCAATACTATAAAAAACAATCCCACTGTGTATTTGTGGTGGAAATGAAACAGGAAGATTGTTGGAGTTTTGTGACAATTTGCAGCATTTTTAGAATCTAGAAAGTAAAGAAAATTTCTATTTGTAAAACCTAGTTTTTACTAGGCAACAGCAATTACAATTATCCACACAGCATAAACAAAAGACAGGGCATGGCAACAATACGGAAATGATTCTCTTTTGCTTGTGACACTTGTTTGGTTCCCTTAATAGGAACTCAGCATGCCTGTGTATTGTGTAATAGGTTATTTTCAATGCACGCATTTGTATTCCTCCACTGTCTTATCATCACTATGCTGACTACTTTCTTTCTTTCTTTCTTTCTTTCTTTCTTTCTTTCTTTAACCAGACAGACAGACTAACAGATTGGGGTTAAAGTGGTTGCAGTAGGAAAAAGGAAAAAAAGAGACAGACAAAGCACGACGGTTGTGGAGTGGGAGATGTTATCCAGGGTTAATATGAGAGGGGCTGAGGCATTACACTGACTCTCAAGTGATATACTGTGAGAGGGAAAATTACACGAACGATAGAGAAGAGTTTTGAGCTTGGACACCACTCTGTCCTCCCTCAATATCTATCAAGCTACGCTTAAATGGACTACCGCTCGACCCTAAACGGCTAAAGTGGTGCCGCCTTGTGGGTCAACTGTAGAACAATGGGGATGTGCCAAACAGCACCCAAGAATAGATATTAGTAAGCGAAAATAATATCCAAGGTATGTTAAGGTTAAAACACATAATTGTTTTTCTTAAAGACCAAAAGGGGCAAACTGTGGTTCAAATAATCATTTTAGGAAATAATTCACCCTTTGAGGGAAAGGATCATAATGTATTTACCGTACGGTCTTAACCAAGAGCTTAGTGAGCAGAACGTAGAGGGAGTCAGCAGTACGCGAACACAGCTTCTTTGGAAACTGTTTCCAGCACTATTCTCAAAGTCAGGAGAGGAGACACAGCAAAGCACACACACGCACGCAGTAAGACCCCAAAATAGATAATGGGATTTCCTGAAGACCACCTGCCTCCTTCTCCCTTGGCTTTCTATAGCCTCCTCTGCCATCATCTCCGCTCTGTTTCTCTGTCCATTCCACCAGCAATGGAAACTCACAAAAACCAAAACCAGATACACACACACACAACTCCCACACACATTTCCAGAACCACAGAGACATCCCTCTCAACCACAGCGCGCTAACTTGTCTGTTAACTGAATCAGTTCAACTTTTCATGTACAGCAAAAGTAAGCTGACCTTTTTGACTGAGTATTATTGACCACATAAACATTTCCATCAACATTCTCACACAGCCTGTTTACAACCAACAATGCCTGACGCAGTTTCCCAAGGTCATTCCCAGATTAAGCCCTCACACCTTCTGCCTTTTAGCCCCACACACCTCCCTCATGGCTAAAGCTGCCTTCACCAATTTCTCCAATATTGCCGCATGACTCATACATTATGACCATCTAGCTGTTTCCATCAGTCAGCTGCTGTTGAACCTTGGCTCTATTCCCTGGTGTGCTCAGGCTTGGAGCCTTTACATTATTACAGTAATTGCATTGCTGCTAAACAATATTATATACTATAAGGACACACAAAACATGGGCTTGTGCTTGAAATATTTCAAAGTCAGCAGGATGGTGCAGTGAGCAAATAGAACACTATACCAACTGATTGAGTTTTCGAGTTGTTTATCCTCTGTACTCTGTGGCATTTGCTGCAACCGAATCAGCCTTTGGATTTGTATCAAGCCTGAACTGAACTGGAACCAGGTGATCAAGGTTGCATTTTGTTCGCACACGCCCAACCTGTCTTGGTGTCCTTGTTGATATTAAACACTTTGTTAACTTTTTTGATGGATATATTCCTGCCATGGAAATTATATTTTTTACTCAGCAAGGTCATTCCGATTTATATTTGCCCATCCTGCAAAAATCCATCCCTCTCTATGAATCTATCTCTACCACATTACTTTTCAATAATCAGAAGCCAAGCCAGAGCTATGTACTGTACTACATCATTGTGTGTGTGAAAGGACGCTTTTTCAATGGCACAGAGGCTGGGTGCAGAGCAGTTCTTGGTCACAGGCTGTGAGAGTTTCAAAAAAAGGACTCGGTCATCAGATAGGTAGCCTCCACACATAATCACACAGTTGCACATGCACATTCATGTACACACACACACACACGGTAGTTTGTCTTACTTACGATATGAATACTGTTTAATCCGTGGTTTATCCACACAAATAATTTTTGTACAATTGTTTGCCGTTGCATTTAATGCATGGCGGAGAAAAGACAGATGAATCCCTTTCTTTCATACTCATGGACAATTAAATGGGTATAATTTAACACATTTACAGTTTCCTATGTTTACCTGCAACACCAGTGCTTGAATGTGGTTTTCGGTATATTTACCTGATTATACTCTTGCTCTATTTATGTGTGACAAAAAAAGTGAAGTGAACAAATAAGACAGCAAAGCGTTTGGGAAACATTTCAAACCTAGCCGTTACCTTCCAGCTGCCTGCGGCCAGGTTCTGCAGAGCCCCGGCTGCTCCCTCCAGGGTGTCGGGGTTGGAGCATTCAGACAGCAGGGTGAGGTAGGGTTTGACGATGGTGGGGTGCCACAGCATCTGAACCCCTTTGGGAGGCTCCGCTGTGTCCGGAAAGGGGCCCACGCCATCCCACTGTGAAAGAGGAGACAGAGTTAATCATTTTTATGTTAAGCAAGGTGAGATGCTAACCACTGGCGGTCTTATCTCTATAAACAGATTCTGCATTCATATGTAGGATTTCATAGAAATTCTTTGGTTGAATGCCGGTAAATGGTCCTTGTGGCGAGTAAAAAGAGGCAGAAGGCACCGGCCAAAATGCAATCTCATAACATGACGGCTACCATCTGACGATGGTTTAGCTTTTTAGTCTTTTTTAGTCTTGGTCTGGATATCTTCTGGCTACACTAGAACAGAAATATATTCAGAGACTAATGGAGGTCAGCTGAAACATTGTTTTGGAGTTGTTGCACTTAACCTAGACCGTCACCCATTGGTTTGTGGACTATTGTTTTGAAGCCTCGAGTTTGTGTTTTGGCCATCGCCATCTTGGATATTTGCGACCGGAAGTGACAGGAGAGGGTGAAGTACAACTGATTTTAAGGCGACCAAAAAGTTCATGAACTGAAACACACAGGGAAAGTTGCAAGTCGAAAACAAGGCCAACTCCAAAATCGGACAACGCCGTGGTAGCAACCTGTCAAACACAAGGTGGCCACACCCTAAAGCAAACCCTGCTTTATCATCTATTTTAATCTAAATGGGACCATACTTTACAAACTGCACATCATGCTGTGTTGAAGAAGACTTGAAACTGATAGAGACCATAAACTCATTACAATGTTTACTGATGTAATAAATCAAGTGAGAAGTAGCTTCATTTTCTTACTTATAGACAATTGGACTTCTTTTTGCAACCAGAGGAGTCACCCCCTGTTTAAAGCACTTAATGTTGAAGAAATGTTGGTGAGCCTCCCCACTCGTCCCCTTTGCGTTTGGAAATTCATCTGATTCCATATTTGCAATATTCATGAAAGACAGATATCTGTGGATGGGTATTCTCATGTGTCTAAGTGCATGCATTACTACATCTTCATTCAGTACCCTCTGACCTATTAAAAAGTCAAAGAGACGCTGAGTAAATCGCTCCCTGCCGACATGCTTTGTAGGAACGATTGGTAATGGAGGGGAGAAAGGGCAACAAAATAGAAAGGCAAGAGATGCATGTGAAAACAGAGACTATGAGGGAATGTTTCACTCCTACATTTGCTTTGAAAAATAAACCTAAAGCTCCATTCCCTTTTACCTCCATCCTCCTCCTCACCTCCACTACAATGGAGTCTCTTGATGTGTGAACCTCTTTGTTGAGTGACATGCCCAGACCTCTTTCCCGTAGGCATGAACCCACAGCTAACTCTCTTTCTCTCTCTCCTCTTTTATTTCTATTTCATTCCTTTCTCTCCTGTTTGACATTAATATCTCCCCCTCCTTTTCTCTCTTGTTTGACATTAATATCTCCCCCTCCTTTTCTCTCCTGTTGATTCCTTCTCCCTCTCCCTTGACTTTTCTCTCTCTCTTTCTTTCTTTCTTGCTTGCCTCCATCCCTCCCTAATTTTTTATTCTATTTCCATCCTTCTCTCTCCAGTTCTCAGTTTTTCCTCTCCCTATCGACCTTCTCGGTTTCGCTCTACTGCTTTCCCTCCTCCCCTGGTCTCGAGGTAAACTAGGCTAGTGTGCGTCTTGAGAGAGGGGCTGTAGAGTGTGTATGTGTGTGTGTGTGTGTGTCTGTGTGTGACTGTGCGTGCCTGCATATTTTTGTCTATGCATAGATTCTCTTATCATAAAATCAAAGGCGTCTTTTTAGTTTGAAGTGTGTATAACAAGAGGCATCAACTCTTGTGCAGTAATGTACTTTCTGTTGCCTACAGACATCCTACACACTAAGTCTGAATTTATGATGTTAATTTGTGTAACTAAAAGGTTCCAGTGATTAAATGTATCAAAGATTTTCAAATGTATTTCCTTCAGTACAAGACACAAAAACATTTTTATAAGAATGTGAATTTCCATACATCATTGTTTGTATCCTGTGCCTGCATGGTAAAGAATCGTAAAACACTAAAGCTGCCACATTCACTGCGGCTTGAGCTCCACATTGTCTGCTATGGGGATCAGGTTATTAAGTTGCAGGTGTGCAGCTTGACAATGCCAGAAAAATAAACGATACATTCCCATTCAAGTTATCTGGTCAGACATCTGAATACCAATGTTATCTCTTTATGTGTGTGAGTATGTGTGTTCCAGTATCCATTAGGAGTGTTTAGGTCCAGTTCAGGCTCCAGTGCTGATCCCTGGCCTTGCTGTCTTAACCTCTAATAAATGATTAAGGAGACTACATTGCAGTCTAACTGCTTGAGTCTCTCTCTCACTCAGTTTCTCTATCCATCATTTCCTTGTCTCTCGCTCTCTCTCTCTCTGACCCAGTCTTATGGCTCCGATCCTCCTCTTTCCGTCGGTGCCTGTCTGTCTCTCACAACTAATCAAATCAAGAGGCAGTAAAGAGGAAAGGAAAGGAAAGATGTACAGAATAGAATCAAGAATAAAATAACACATTTTTTAAACCACAATGCTAAGAAAGCCTGGCAGGGACTACACATTATCACAGGTTATAAACCTAAACGCATACCATGCAGCCATTGAATTATTCTGTATTAGTCAATTAGACTTGATCCATTTGTTTTTGTAGATTTGAGTAAATTATGCGCCGCAGCAGGCCGAAGCAGTTGATATAGCCACGAGTTTACCAGTTAGTGGCATCAGGAATACCCACAGTTTTAACCTGTTAAGGCTGGCAAATCTCAGAATCCGGATGACATTGGCTGGAAGGTCTTACAGTCATATGCTGATTAACTTGCATCTCATTTTCAAAGGATTGCCTGACCAGTGGAAGCTGCCTTTGATTGTACCTGTGCCCAGTTGCCCTTACCTCAGTCCATACGAAGTGCTTTGAGCAGATAGTATTAAAACATCTATTCACCATTCTTGGATCCTTATCAGTTTGCATACTAGTCAGAGCGGGGGGTTGAGGATGCATTGCTCATAATGAACAACAGCATGTTTGAACACCTTGAACAACCTCTCAGTCTTGTAAAAATTGGGTTGTTCATTTTAGCAGTGCGTCTAACACCAACCCCACCGGCTGGTAGGCAAACTGCTGGATCTATGGGTTGATCCAAGGCTCATTCTATGGATTAATGATTTTCTTCTGAATCGTACCCAGCTGGTTAGATTCCACACAGTCATTTCCTCTTTTAAGTTTGTAAATCCAGGAGCCCCAGAGGGCTGTGGTTTGTCTCCCATACTGTATACACTCAATACCAATGAGTGTCTCCACTCACACCTTCTTTTAAGTATTCAGATTATACAGTCTTGGTGGTTTTGAAGATAAGGTATAGGGAACTATGCATTAAATGGTGTTCTGGCAATTCCCCTGAGGTCAATGTGACTAAAGCAATGGACATGGTCATAGATTTTAGACGTAGAAGAAGTGAAGTGCCACTCACCAAGGTTAATAATAAACCCATCAAAACAGTTGATACTTACAAATACTTAGGGATAGAAATGGATGACCAGCCATGAATGTGCTACTGCAAAGTTACCTTGCATCACAGCTGGATTCTCACAATGTCACAAGATCACGTGAGAATCACAGGATAATATATCAAACAGAAATCCATCCAATCAAACTTTAAGTAATGTTTGTGTCTGGTAAGCCAGAGCACAGACCAATTAGCATCCTGTGAGGAGGTGTGTCCGAGACGACACGTTCAAAACCTAAAGAGGTTAGCGTATAAGCTGCAATAGCATCAGTTATATCAGAACTGGAGAATATTTTCATTTGAAAGAAGAGCTTAGAGCGGCACTGAAGGCTTCTCTTGATTGGAAAAGATATTTTTTGTTCTTCTCCCGACAGGTTTTGTCCAAAGTTTGATTTACAGATGGTTCGGGCAATCTCCTTCCAAGTATTTATTTAAAGTGGCTGCCCTTTCCCAAACAGTTTCCAATGACAGCTTCTGAAATGGTTCAGGTTAACTGCAAATGTCAAAAATCTACAACAACGAATGTTCTTCCAAGGGAAACTGTACAGTTTCGATTTGGTTGTAATGTCTTGCAACTGTTTTACAAGCCCATCCCACCAAGCATCCTGTCCTTTGGCCTTATTTTTGTGTTTGATAACATGCCCAACCAAGATCAAAATAGGTTGCACTGCATGATCAGGTTGGTGTGTGGGGTCATTGGGGCGTTATTATGAATCCCACAGCTTTTCTCTGCAAGACCCGGCCTGTGTAGCATTCAGGCGCTAGGATTAGCCAGGGGTCCATTCTCGCTGAGGTATCAGTAACCTGATATGTTCAGGTCCTATGCCCTGATCAATGGGCTATCCTGACCCTAACTACTTGAGGTCAATGCCTAACCTCAACCAATTGTCTCTGCATCAACAATCTACGCAGGGCGGGTCTTGCCAAGAAATGCAGTGGGATTCATATATACACGTCACTGGATGTGACCAGATGTCAGCTGCTCAGTTGTGTAAAGATCTCATTCTGAGTAATGCTGATTGCATCCTCAGGGAAGTGACCCTTCTCAAACTCTATGCTACAGGTTCCAACTAAGCTATTGGGGCAAAGGAAGGATGCTGAATGGGAAAATAAGAGCAGCAAGATTCAGAAGCGCTTTGTTGCTTCAGCAATTAGACTTCCAACAGACAGGGACAGTCCAAAAACATAGAATGTGATGTTGTTTTGTACAGAGCTATGTGGAATGGAAATTCTTATGCAGTACTTGTATGGTGCAATATCTTTTTTATAATATTGCTTATAATATTGATGTAGTCTCTTTATTCGTGTGTGTGTCAGCGTATGCTAGATCGAGGGTGCTTGGAATTGCTCTGCATGTGTGTGTGTGTCTCTCTCATAGCAAGAGTTCTACTATCCCACCCAATTCAGAAAGGTTCTGATAGAGTTTTGGCCATTTTGTTGTGTAAAGCTTTAAAAATGCACTATATTAAAACTTTATCTCTTCCTTTCTCCTCTCTCTCTCTGTCTGTGCATATGGGTGTCAGGTGTTTCAAGACACAAACGGCAATTGGAAAGAGCAAAAGAGGCAGTGTAGCAATGAGTTGCATTAGCTTGGAGACCCAATGGCTAATAATGGATGAAATAAAACAAAACAAAGCTCTGGGTCTCAGGTGTGGTTTGGGTCTCAAATATCAGTCCAGTTAAGTATGGTTGGGTATTAAGGATGCAAGTACGGGCTGTGTTTGTGCCTCGGATTTGGGCCCATGGGCAATTTTGACATACACACAACATAGTCTAAGAGTGTGCTTTTGACTTCAGGAAAACATGCAGTCTCGTCCATGGAGAGAAGTCCACCTCTACCTTAACAGACTTGAAAAGTGCATAAGAGACTAGACCGCAGGGAAGGGGGAGAGCAAAATCCAACTGGGAATGATGAAGCTTTTAACCTGAAAAGTTAGGTTAAAAAGTGTGAAGAAAAAAACGTTTTGGCCCATGTATTGGCTTATGAGCAGATGGGGGACAAATTAGAGTAAAATCCAGAATAAACAAGTGGAGAGGCTTCCATAGAAGGCACAAGGGTTCATATGGCCTTTCCAGTCACATGATCTCAACCAAATTGACCACCTATGACAGAATATGGACTGGTGTGGTAGACTGCGCTCTCCACAGCCATCATCTATACTCGAGGAAGTATAAGTAACGAGGAAGAGTGGTGTTCGTTTCTCCAGTAGAGTACCACAAACTTGTGGAATTTTTGCCAGAGCATTGAAGCTATTCTAGCCAAAACTATATTTTAAGGTATAGACGCACATTTTTCCATTCACTGTATTCATTCCATCAAATTATATAATAGTTATTTTCCTTCCACTCATCATCACCTCTGTCCTTACCTGATCGGCCCCCTTCTTTTTCTTCTTCTTCTTGCCCCAGCAGCCAGAGCTCTCTCCGTCGCGGCCGTTGGCGTCACAAAGCAGGCCGTCCAGCTCCTCTAAACCCCCTTGCTGGCCCTTGGACGTCTCGGCAGCCAAACGGTACGACAGGTTTCTCAGGATGCAAACACAGTTCTCTACAGTCTGGAGATAAAGCGAGTCGGGAGAGATGAAGTGAATTAGGAGGAAGAAAAGGTAGGGAGAGGGTTGAGGGGATTAAAAAACACAGATATGAATGAATAAAGTGATAACGTTGAGGTGGAAGATTTGTGTTTGAAGCCATTTAATGAAACATCTCGCTTGAAAACACAGCATAACGTAAAGTCAAAGCACGCTGCTAAAAACCGCCCACCCACACTTTTACACTATCGGCCTTCCACCCCCACCCACGAGCCAGGCAGACGAGGAGAGTGAGAGATGGAAAGCGACAGAAAGGAAAGAAGAAAGATAATCTCACAGGTAATATGCCTCTGTATTTTGTTAGCTCCGACTTTGAAATGAGATTAGAAGAAACAAAAGCAAATGAGGAAAAATGACAAGCCCAATATATTGTATCACACCCCATTAAACACCAAGTTTAGAAGCAAACCTGCTGCGCGCGTGTGTGTGTGTGTGTGTGTGTGCATGAGAGCAAACTAATTCTTACAGGGAACGGTGTCTATGTTTAAGTGTGCACTTTCACCGAGCGTGTGTACTTGCACTCGTGTGTCTAATATCACTGAGAAAGGGGAGTCATCGAGTCAGCAGAGTGGAAATTAACAAAGACAAATCATCAATCTTCTCTCCGTCTGACCGTTGGTTTACACAAAAAAGAATCAAGGAGTATAATTGAACAGCCTCAAGAGATGCAACAAACAAAACAATGTCTCACTCCAGCGAGCTGCAGTCATGTCTGAAATTCTATTCACATGCTATTATAGAACGATGTCGGAGAAGTTTTATTTACAATTTACTTTGACATTTCATATTTCGATCTGTTATTTCACATTCATTCAGTACCCTGTTCTTTCCAGCTGCAGGGTTTAGGGAACAAAAAGACTTTCAAAATGATTATGTGGTACTTCTTGTCTCCGCACGAAGGGTCAGAGGTAGGGGCCAGTTACCAAACAGCAACCGTACAACAAAAATTCCATTCTTATTAATTATATAAGAATCTACACAGCAAACGAATACGAGACCACAGCCATTGATGTTGATAAAAGGCTTTGTGTGTATGACCTTGTGTTTCTTTCCACTCTGTGCTTTTAGAATATACTTGTCCATGACACTCCTCTGGGACACTAGATGACATACATTAATGGACTTACAGTATACTTCTCCCTGCAGTAGCAACCGCATTTAATGCAAGCTGTTAAATATCAGCATCATAAAATCGATAAAATGTCAGCATCATATTGGATGTGTATGTAGAATGATGAGCTAGTCTATTAGGTCTTGTACCATCATTTCAAATGACTGTATCAGCTATGTTAATGAGTTCTTAGCTGTGTGCAGGTTCATACTGTGAAACCTATTTAAGTGTCTCTAAAGCTTCCTCACATCATTGCAATCCCTTGCAGCATTATAGATTGTGTTTCATGGCACAATCGACTATAAAACATAATTGTCATATAGTGGATATTCCTCTGATCTTGCACATTTCTGTCTGGATCTGTGAACATGAAAGGCAGAGAGGAAAGAGCGGAGACTGTCTAGATGATCAAAATGCAAATCCTGAAGAATGCTGAGAGTGATGGTGAGGGGAATTTTTGTGAGAGCACGAACTGAGTTGGAACTGACTATACAAGTATATGGGCACATAAACTGGTTGGTAATCAGTGATAATGTTAGTTTAACAACCTCGGTGTTTTCAAACTGTTTCTGCTTAGACTGAAAAGAATTTGCACAAAGTAGAGGTAAAGTGTATCAATCAGTTTTTGACTCCTTGAGCTCTACTATATTTATATGGCAGACCAGATTAATCTCCCACCTAAACAGGCAGATGAGTAGAGAATGTAAGGTGGCAGTCTGGGCAACGCACGTGTGCAAAAATGAAGCAAAAAAGGCAGTACAAAACGAGCACATGGCTAATGTGCGTTGCTATTTCAGCAGTGGCCACGTGCTGGTTCACCTGCCAATCAGTCTTTGTTACTGAGGTGACAGCAGTACTCCTCTGGTGACTGCCGTCAGATGGTGAAGAAGGGCGGGCAGTTAAGCAGTGATTAAAGAAGGCCATTTAGAGAAGCTGGGAAAACAGGGAGACCTTGAGAAGTCAGCCATCCACAACATTGTTTATGTAGTATTGACTGGCCCCCACATACTCCGTCATGAGCACACATACAGTATACGCTCCACACCAACGTGAACGCGTCCTCACACAGGAAAACACAAAGTGAACATAAACCCCATCAACTTTGACTACTGGCAGAGACACATTGGCAGCAGGAGGTGCTGCAACACTTTGAATTTGAAAGCTTTAATTTATCCTGAATAAAATGTGTTGATGAACTGCACGCTCCTTGAAAACTAATATTCATCTTCCTTGTGGAAGCTGGCAATGAAAGGAGGTTGTTGTTTTTTTTATTTTTTTTATTATTATTATTTCTCACCTCCTGTGCAATGAGAAAAATTCAGCAGTTTGTCTGTGTCTACAAGAGAGGGAACGAGGCACGCTTTCTCTCTTGCAGGTTTGAAAATGCACATTTACTGCTTCACACTCTTTTCATTAATGCATTTATACAGTCATGCACATTACATAACACAAGCTAAGATGCTCACACACACACACACACACACACACACACACACACACACACACACAC